GAGAGAGAGAGAGAGAGAGAGAGAGAGAGAGAGAGAATGAGAGAAGAGCAACTGTTTGGGGCTGAGAGCAATGATTGAAGCCTGACAACCTCTGTGCTTACTGGGAGCTCCCTGTTGGGGAGCTCACTGGAGAAAACAGAATCCCACAATGTGAAAATCTAGCTAGGTTTGTTTCTCAACTCTTCAGTGCCATTGACAGCCTCAGAGTGAGGGAGCCCTACAAGGCTTTGACTCCACTGCCTTGTACTGTTCTCCCTGGCTTGAGAGGGAGGGATTCCTCAGAGCCCAGAGAGCAGATCTGAGGAACTCGCTTATCACTTAAATAGTATAACAATGTTCAGTACCCAGCCAAGGGAGCAGACCTGAAAGGCTGCAGACCCCAGGTTTAGGGTTGCTGTTTTATCGAAAGAGTATAATGATTCTGCATTACTAAAATAGTTCATTTCTTCTGCTACTCAAGCATAGCAGAGAAGCAGCTTCATCTTGCAGGTGAGTACAAAGTCTCAAAAGAGGAACAGGTAATGTGTCTTCTCTAAAAGAGACCACTGACATTCAGTCCTGCAGTCTAAAAATGTGAGCTGACCTGGGTATGTGGTTTTCTTACTCATCCCTGCGAGGTTTCTATAAATGTTGACCCACTCTCCCCCGCAGACAATGTGTGCTTTGTTAGAAAACTTGACCCAAGTTTATGGATGAGCTGTTATATTTTGATTATTACTGTTTTGTTCTCTACTACAGAAACATTGTGATTATTCTTGCTTTTCTTGTTTGGTAAATGTTTTATGTTCAAGAGTCAATGGTATCATTGTGTTTGATTTGTATAAACAGGAGATACATCAGTAGGGGCTCAAGAACTATAGCGGTAATCAGTAAGAGTAAATCTGTCTCACACCAGGGTTACCTCACAGGATTTTGGAAGCGGGCAGCCTGTGGCTGTCCCATCCCCAAAGGCAAAACCTAGATGACGCTATGAGTTCACAATGGAATGAGTGAGCCAATCCGGAGAGATAAAGGAGGTACAATTATCATGTTGAATCATCAGCTAAACTGCTAGCATGAGTGGGTCAACACCATGGCCAAGCTACAATTATTTCGTGAGTGACCTTGGACAAGTCACTTGAACTCTCAGTGTCTAGGAAACGTTCTAAGACTACAAACCGCAGGAGATTTGCCCTCTTACACCAGTAGAGGGAGATTCCTCACCAAGAGTTCCCTACATCAATAAAACCATAGGTCTAAACAACAACAACAAAAATGTATAAGACTTTGTGCTGGGAAGATGGGAAATGAGAGAATTCTTCATTGTTAGTGGCACCCACTTTACCAAACCATTACTGCCAACTGAGTTAACATCACTTGACTGACTCTACTGGCTCCTTGTGCTGGGTCTCTAAGTGACTTATTTTCTGAAGTCAGAAGGACCCGATTTCAAATCCTGCCTCAGACACTTACTAGCTGTGTGAGCCTGGGCAAGCCACTTAACCTTGATTGCTCCCCCAAACAAAAATAAAATGACTCATTTTGTCGTTAATACCACCCTTGAAGGAGAAAAAGAAAAGCTCAGAATTTCAGCATCAGCAGGGTTCCCAAGGGACCATCTAGTTTAAATCATGTGGTCTTCCATGCTTCCACTGCTGCTTTCCACAGTATCTGAACGCCATCTCTGAATTTCTCCCAAACCTCCATGCCCAGGCTTGTGGACTTACCCTGCACTTGATGGTTTTATTAATTTCATGGTTTTTTCCTTTATAATTAAGGATGACATGTACCTTGTTGTTTCCCATTCCACAAATGTCTGGGCCTGAAAATGAAAAACCCAATGGCATCAGATAAATTGTAGCATCACTTTTAGGACCAGAGGCGAAGATGAGTCTACCCCTCATGGCGTTAGAATCATGCAAGGTGAAGGGACATCTCACCGTGGTCTGCCATGGATAAACCCTCTGGCAGCTCTGCCAACCTTTGGGTTAGTAAGGATGACATTTTTAGGTGGGGATTGAAGAGTCTCAGATTTGGGAGGGACTTCAAAGGTCATCTAAGCCAACCAGTGCCTGTCCGAGAGAACACCACTGGCCTTAAGGGCCCCTTCCACCTCCAATATTCCAGCACCATCATGCCCTTGGCCACAGACAGGGAAAGAGGCCTTGGCTGAAGGACTCACCAAACATGATGTAGTAGGTGGAGTTGGAATGCATGTTCTCTTGGTCCAGATCCTCAGGAAAGAGCTTAACATAGCCCCCGCCGCAATCCACGCCCTGCTCGTGCTTTACTGAAAACTGCACCACCAAACTTTGCCCCTCGTTGCTAAAAGGCTTGAATCGTGCTGACAAGGCATAAAACTTGGCGTCTTCACTTGTCTGGAGACCTGATGAGAAAGAAAACACAGGCCTGGAAGCTGAACGATGTCAGCAGCAGATCAAGTGGGCTTAGGAAAAACCCAACCGAACCAACGGGAAACGAAGCCATATCCGAGGTGGCCAGACTGGCCTGCCTGGAATCCAGGTGAGCAACACTAAATCCCATGAGGCCCAAATTCTTGGACAGAAACTTGTTACGTTATTTATTCAACTAAACTTTGTTGGGAACCTACTTTGTGCCGGGTACTGTTGGGGCTAACACTCAGTCTGAGCAGAGAAGAGTCCCTTGGTGGGAGCTCCACCTCCTCACCTCTGCCTCCTGCCTTCCCTGGATTCCATCAGGTCTCAGTTAAAGTCCCAGCTTCTTCAAAAAGCCTTCCCTCAACCCCCTTATTTCTAGTGTCTTCCCTCCGCTGATTATCTCCAGTTTACCTTGTATATATCTTGTTCGTACAAGAAAGAGGCCCAGACTAGGCAGTTAGGAGGACAGCGGATAGAGAGTTGGGCCTGGAGTCACCAAGACCTGAATTAAAATTCAGCCTTAGACACTTACTAACTATGTAAACCTAGGCAAGTCACTTAACCTCTGTTTGCCTCAGTTTTCTCAACTGTAGAAGAGGGATAATAACAGCACCCACCCTTCCAGGGCTGTTGTGAGGCTTAAATGAGATATTTGTAAAAAAAAAGTGCTTAGCAAGTGCCTGACACATAGTAGGCACTATATAAATGCTTATTCCCATTCCTTGCTCCCAGTTTATAATCATTTGTATGTTGTCTCCTCCATTACACTGTGAGCTCATTGAAAGTAAGGACTATCTTTTGCCTTTTTTTGTATCCCCAGCACTTAGCACAGTAGCTGGCATGTAGTATCTGCTTAATAAATTCTATTTGACTGATTGATTAGGAGGGGACAAGCCCAGCCCCCCGGGTCAATGGTGCTCTGTTGTTACATATATATATATATATATATGAACCCACAGAGAGGTCCTTCTTACTTCAAAAGATCTCAAAAAAAAATGAAATGGTCTCTCATCACTCTGCCTGGCCCTGCCCCTGCTACTCAGATGACTGCTCATGTCATCCCTCTCACCATCTAATCATAGAGTACCTTATTTTATGTAACCAGTTTATATTTTTATGTCTCACCTTCCTAACTTGACTGCAATTACCTCAAGAGAATAGAATACAGACTATAAATTGGCTGCCAGAAGGTGGCATCCCTCTGTTTCTTATGACTTTTTCCTCATGGAAGGAAGTAAAGTCAACCCATCCTTCATCCTGGTGTCTACCTGGCCAGGACACGGCCTTCACCACAGCAAATATTTGGCCCACGCACAGCCTTTGTGCAGCTCAGTATATGATCTAATTACAGCTTTCATTACATTCAATACATGTCTAGTACCTGGTCTGGCGTGGTCAACATATGGCCAGCACGTGGTCTTCACCATGGTTACTACATGGCCCACATGCAGCCTTCATTAGTCAACACATGTTCAGTACTTGGCTTTCACCATGGTCAATACCTGACCTTCACTCTGACTAGGACACAGCCTTAATCAAATTCAATGCATGGCCCACATGCAGCCTTCATCACAGTCAATCTACGTCTAGCACTTGGTTTTGCCTCAGTTAATACATGGTCCACATATAGCCTTCACCATGGACAATACATTGCCACAGTCTTCACCATATTTAATCCGTGGTCCACATGGAGCTTCCATCACAGTTAATACACATCCAGCATCTGATCTTTGCCATAGTCAACAACGGTATACAAATAGTCTTCACCATGGTCAACGCAGGACTAGTCTTCACCATAGTCAACACCTAGACGCCAAACAGGTTTAACTAAAATGAAAATTAATGGCATCTCACCTTGTTTCAGAAGAGGGGCTTTCAGCTGATTTGGCTGGAATGGCACTTTATTGAGAGGTTTTGTGTGTGTGGAATTGTAAGACAACTTCATTAAACACACAGTTTTTAAACAGCCCAGTGAGGTTTCCCAAGCTTTGTGTGCAGGGCCCACTGTAAGCACCCCAAAGCCACCACCCTGTCTTGTATCCCTCAGTAGGTCTGTATGAGGTATGGAAGCAAAACTAAGGGAGGACAGAAGACCGGTGCAGTTGGGGCATGATGAGAAGAAGGAAATCAGGGATAAATGGGCTCCCACTCATCTCCAGACACCTCTCATTTTCCTTCATTCCATGAAACTTTCATGGGGAAGGAGAAATTTAATAAGCTGCTACCAAAGACTAATTTTCATCTTTAAATGAGCTCTAAAATTAGATTTGTGACAGTGAACTAGGAAATAGTAGAGGGCGCAAAATTAAATGGTAAGACTAATGGACTCTATTTATAGCAGCAAAGGCTTCTTTGGACCCCGGGCAGAGGCTGTGGAGCTCTTGCTCTGAGCACCCAGGCTGGCACTCACGTGATGCCATTTCAGTGCCTTAGAGCACCTTGGACAGACTTGAGATGGAAGGGACCTTGGAAATCACGTTGTCCTCATTTGGGAGGCAGCTCGGTGGAACAGTAGGTAAGAGCACTGGACTTGGAGCAAGGAAGACCTGAGTTCAAATCCCACCTTGGACACTTATTAGATGTGTAACCCTGGGCAAATCTCTTCACCTGTCCTCAGCCTCAGTAAGACCACGAGCTTCTTGATGGCAGGGACCCTAACTTCTGTGTATCTGTATCTTCCCTGGCCATGGAAGAGTGAGCCCCTTTCCCCACCAGCACTTTGGAGGTGCTTTGTAATTGTGTATGAAAGGTGAGAATGAATTGCCGAAGAGGTGCTTCTTCTGAGTGAACACTAGAGGGCACTCTTCACATTGGCCTCTGATCCATCTTCATTGATTCAATAAACATAAAACGCCTGCTATGTGCCAGGCTGTTCTAGCCCTGGCAATACTTGGGGGAAAGTGGCAAAAGACAGTCCCTGCCCTCAAGGAGCTTACAATCAGTTGTGGAGACAAGAAGCAAACAAATATGTGCAAACTATACATAGGATAAATAGTAATTAATGATCAGAGGGAAAGCACTGGAATTGGGGGGTTAGGGAAGGCTTCCTGTAAAAGGTGGGATTTTAGCTGAAACTTGAAGAAGGTAGAGATGAGAAGGGAGAGCATTTCAAGCCTGGGGAACAACCAGGGAAAATTCCTGGAGTCAGGAGATGGAGGGGCTTGTTTAGTTTTTTAAATTTAAAAAAAATTTTTTAAGCTAGGCAATGGCGTTAAGTGACTTGCCCGGGGTCACACAGCTAGTAAGTTTTTTTAATTTTTTGATTTTTTTTTTAAGCTAGGCAATGGGGTTAAGTGACCTGAGTTCAAATCCGGCCCTCCTGACTCCAGGGCCAGTGCTGTATCCACTGTGCCACCTAGCTGACCCTGAGGGGCTTGTTTAGGCAACATCAAACAGGCTGGCGTCATTGGATTAAAGAGTACCTGGGGAGGATCCACGTAAAGTATAAGAAGACTGGAAAGGGGTGTGTGTGTGTGTGTGTGTGTGTGTGTGTGAGATACACATTCAGCCATTTCCCTTCTAATCCTAGATGAATTAATTTTGTCTGTGCAGAAGTTTTTCAGTTTTAAATAATCAAAATTGTCAATTTTTTTTTGTAATTGCCTCTGTCTCTGGTTAAGACTACATTTCCTATCTTGCCTTTTCAATGGGTAGGAAAAGAGGTGGGGAGAGGGAGAGAATTTAGAACTGAAAATAAGATGAAATCAAACAGCAAAAAAAAGAGAATACATCTACCCATAGCTGTGAGATGTATATGTTTTATTTGTCTTCTAATTTTGTTATAGTTTGATCTAAAGATGATAAAGATCTAACGATATTAAGGTCATATATCCATTTAGAATGCATTGTGGGGTGGGGTGGGGTGGGGTGTAAGCTGTTGGTCTAAGCTTAATTTCTGCCAGACTGATTTTCAGTTTTCCCAAAAGGTTTTTTTTTAATTAAATAAGGAGTTTTTTCCCTAGGTAATTTATGTTTTCCATTTAATCAAACCCTGGGTCATTGAGTTCTATTATTTCTGAATCTCTATTATCTATCTAGTCAGCCGCACTGATCCATCTATTATTTAAGCAATAACAAACGACTTTGATGACCACTGGTTCATAATATAGTTTGAGGTCTTCAAGTGCTATTCCCCACTTGTCCCCACTTCTTTTCATAATTTCCCTTGATATTCCCTTTTTCCAAATGAATTCTGCTATTATTTTACCAAGCTCTATAAAGTATTCCCTTGGTAATTTTATTGGTGTAAGTCAATTTTGATGGTATTGTTCCAAGTAGCTTCTTAACAAATATGGGTCAAACTACATAATGAATAAATTAATTCCACAATAACAAACTTCCTCAAAATTTAAGATAGATGACTCATCTTTTTTTAATCCTTCATTTATATACACATATACATATATATCAAACTTTATATAAAGGCAGTATAGTATAGTGGAAAGAACACTAAGTTTAGAATAAGAGGGCCTGGAATCAAATCCTGCCTCCCTATTAGCTATGAGACCTTGGGCAAGTAATTTCCTTTCCTCTGGGCCTCAGTTTTCTTGCCTGTAAAATGGAAGATTTGGGAAAGATCATCTCGATAATCCATTCCAGCTCTAAATCCCAAGATTCTTCTTACTTCAATATTTTGAAAAGACTTGTACTTTCATCAGTGGTGCTTCTCAGTCCACTGATATAGATTGTAGATCTTCTGGACCTTAGTAGATACTATGGTCAAAAAAAAAATCATTGCCTGGTGGTCAACTATCTAATGAGCTGTGAGGCCGGTCCTGGGATACCAAATATTGAGCACAGCCAGCTCTATATGTGAAGTCATTCTAAGGCAGGAGGATTTGGGGAGGGCCAACCAAAGCCTGTGCTTGCTTTTGAGGACCCCAGGCTCCCAGGGGTTACATGTGGCCCGCCACACTTGAGAACCTAAAGGGCCACGTGTGGCCTCGAGGTCACAGGTTCCCGCCCCTGCACCTTGGGGAGGCATCTGAACAGGAAGGCAGGGAAGGGAATGACACTTTGGGGGGATGAACAAATGGGACCATGCTTCATGAACAGCAAAGGGTCTCTAATAATTGGAACTCTCCCGTCCCACCCACTCCCAATGACAGGAACACTCACCTTTGTCCTTCTCTTTGTCTCCATAGAACCTTCCAGCTGTCAGCTGGAATTTACCATAACTTGACCAATGTTTAGATTGAACCCATCTTTTTTTCCATCCATCTGTCAGAAAATGAAAAAATACATGCAAATGACTTCCATCCTCTCAAGGATGACCAGGTAGAATCGAATGAGGTGATACGTGAGGTGCTGTGAGGACACGAGATGCTCCTGGAAAGCAGAGAACGGTTCATTCTGGCTTCTGCATCCTCGGTGCCTGGCATGGAGCAGGCATTTAATGCTTGGTGAGTGAGTGAGTGAGTGAGTGAAGACAAAGGAAAGAATGCTGAATTTGGATTCAGAGGACCTGTGTTAGCTGACATGTGATGCAGAAAGACAGAATAAATACATACGAAATATATATGAAATAAAACAAATATGTGAGAGGCAGTGTGATGTAATGGAGAGATGACCTTAGGGTCAGGATGACCTGAATTCAAGTCTAGCCTCTGACATACCCACTGGCTATGTGACCCTGGGCAAGTTACTTATTTCCCCGTGCCTCAGTTTCCTCATCTGTAAAATGAAGAGTATATAAAAATTTAAAGTTATTGCACAAAGTAGCAAAAATCATAAGGGAAGCAGGTAACTGAGCAAAAATCTTGGCAATAAATCTCTCTCTCTCTCTTCTTCTCCTTCCTCTTCCTCTTTCCTTTCCTCCTCCTCCCCCTCCTCCTTTTGATGATGATGATGGCCATACTTCACCCAGCCAACATCTGTAGAAGGCTGATGTTCAGAAATCTCTCCCTGTACACCTCCCATTGCTTGGCCCACACAGGCAGGATGCACTGGGCAAAAGGGGCTCTGGGCACAAGCTTGAGCATTTCCCCTTCCATAATCTTCTCTCAAACCTGACCTGCCAAGGACCTCATATTTCCCTTATGGTTACTGCCCCCTGCTGGCGAGAACAATCTTTACCTCTCCTACTTTTCTAGCATTTTAAGGCTAACAAAGCACTTTTCTCAAAACAACCCTTGGGAAGTAAGCTGCATGAATATTATTATCCCTATTTTACAGATGAGAAAACCAAGATGTAGAGAGGCAAAGTGAACTAGAATCATAGATTTAGAGCTAGGAGGAGCCTTAAAGATGTCTAGGTTCTCTCTCATTTTATAGATGAAGCTGAGGCCATGAAGAGGTGACTTGTCCAAGGTCACACAGGTAGTAAATACCAGAGGTAGGATTTGAACTCAGGTTTTCTGACTCTAAATACATTGTTCTTTCAACTCTGTTACCCTGATTTTAGCTCAACCTTATGTTACAGAAACTGAGGCCATACAGGTAAAGTGATTTGCCGGAGGGCCCCCTGCCCCTAGAAAGGGGAACTTAGAGGTCATAAAATCAAACCCCCTCATTTTACAGATATAGAAACTGAGATAATCTACGCAACACTGGAGTAGGTCCTTGGACAGAGCTGTCTTGGCTGAGGGTGAGTATCTCAGACTTGCTTCTCCCCTTTATAACCAGTCTGGCTTCAAGATCCCACTAACCCCTGCCTGGACAGTCAGGTACAACCGTGAACTAAACATTTGCCAGACACAATATCCTCTCAGCTTTCTACTTATTTCCCAGGGATTGAGAATCAAATCCATATTACCACTTCTGCTCTAAAGGGTATGATAATCAACTTTCCTCTCTCAGTCAGTCAATATTTATTAAGTGCCTCCTATGTGCCAGGCACTGACTTAAACCCAGAGGATACAAAAAGATGCAAAAGACAGCCCCTGCCCTCAAGGAATTCACAATCTAATGAGGAGGGGGAGAGACAACAAGCAAGCAACTATATACAAACAAGCTATGTGCAGGATAAGTAGTAAATAATTCATAACACAAGGAAGACTTTACAATTAAGAGGTGTTGGGAAAGGCTTCCTGGAGGAGGGAGGGTTTTAGCTGGAACTGCTCAGAATTCCTTTGGGTGCCTACACCAAACCTCCCTTCTCTGGACACTGCTCCCAGCTTCCTCATATCAATCTATGTCAGCTCTAATGCCTCCAGATCAAATAAGACAATATCTGTAGAGCATTTAGCATAGTCCCCTCTCTATCATTTCATTCTTCCCTAACTTTCCATCATGAAGTTTTTGTTTAAATTTTGGTGAGGCAATCGGGATTAAGTGACTTGCCCAGGGTCACACAGCTAGGAAGTGTCAAGTGTCTGAGGTTGGATTTGAACTCAGGTCCTCCTGACTCCAGGACCAGTGCTCTATCCACTGTGCCACCTAGCTGCCCCAAATCAAACCACTTTCTTTTTTGTGTGTGAGGTAATTGGAGTTAAGTGACTTGCCTAGGGTCACACAGCTAGTGTCAAGTGTCTGACGCCAGATTTGAACTCAGGTCCTCCTGACTCCAGGGTCAGTGCTCTATCCACTGTGCCACTAGCTACCCACTCATCATGAACTTTTAAACTCCCGTTCTCTTGTTAACAAACTGCCCTTCATCACAGACCTCTGCCTCACCCTGGAAATTACTTTGTATATATTATTATCTATATATATTGTTTCCCTTCCAATAGAAGGTTGGGCTGTTTCGTTTTGGTTTTGTATCCTAATCTGTAAGACCTAATACAGTGTTAGGCACATAGTAGGCACTTAATGAATGCTTGCTGAATGAATGCATGATCTAAGGATGACCTAGTATGCCAAAAAAAAATTAATTCGATGTCCGGAGACACTAAGACATTAGTAGTTCCTAGAGCAAGAAGCTGACATTACCCTGAGTCCTCTACCCTGGCCAGAAGTCAGGGGCATCAAGATGAATTCTCTTAGGAGGGGCATTGATAAAGAGGAGCACGCCCAGATGTGAGACCAAAAGGTCTGAAGCATCACTGAAGATGCTTGTCCTGAAGCAGAGAAGATGTACAGAGGATGAAACTGTGGGCTTCAAATATTTGAAAGAGTCTCACAGAAAAGAAGAATTCACATTTGAATAGGCCTCAAAGATAGAAGTCCCAAGGAGGCAGAGCTGTGGTCATAGATATCAAAGCTGGAAGAGACTTTCAAAGTCATGTACATCATCTCCCTCATTGTATAGAGAAGGAAACTGAGGCACAGGGGAAGTGTCATGAGAAGGGCCAATCAGAAAGTACAGGTAAGAGACAGGATTTGAACCTAGGTCCTTTATTTCCTGAGCCAGCGTTCTTTTGCTTTTACTATAAGAAGTGATGACTTCCTAGAAGACTCTCTGTAAAAGGCAAATTCTGATAGGGTAGATTCTTAGAAATTTCAAGCTTCAATTAGAGAGATGGTCCTTCCTTTTACTGGACATGGTGGCTTTTTTTCTGACCTTCTGCCTTAATCATCTTGACTCTTGGGGTTCATATCATATCCCTGTCCACTGGCTACCAGCTGCAGTATGATGAAGGGGAAACATTTCACTGTGACCCATGTCATTTAATGCCTCTGAGCCTCAGTTTCTCCATTTTTACCAGTGGAGATCACCAGACTGGTTCCCTCACTCTTGACTATACTCCTGATTAGATTTCATTGGATTTCACTGTCTAGTTGTATGAACTATTTCACTTAATGCCTCTGAGCCTCAATTTCCCTATTTTTGCCAATGGAGATCTTCAGACTGGCTCACTCACTCACTCTTGATTATACTCACTTTCTGGACTTCTCGCCAGCTGCTTTCCCACCCTGGATAAACCTCCACCCTGAGACCTTGCTCTCCTGATTGGTGGTTCCCTCATTCAGATCACTATTTTGGTAGGGGTCCTTCACCTCACTCTCATCTTGACTCACTCACCAGACTTCTCCTCTTCCTCTTTCTCCTCAACTGCTCCCTTGTCCCTAAACAAATACCCTTCCCTGTTTTCGGGTCCTCTTTATGTTTTGTCTTCTCCCATTAGAATGTTAACTCCTTGAGAACACACAGTAAACACTTAAATACTATATCTCTATCTATCAATCTATCTATAATAATAATAGCTAGTATTTATATAGTTGTTTAAAGTTTGCAAAGCACTTAATAAATGTTATTTCACTTTATCCAGCAATCATTGATCTACGTCCCCAATGCCTATCTTGCAAGGCCATTGTGGTGACTAAATAGGAATCTAGCAGTGAAGTGGGCGGCTGGCACAAGTTGTTATTTCAGGAATGTTTATCGAAGATGGTTCTTTGCAGTTAATCCCCGAAGAGATGGATCATTTTTCTGGTCCCTTCCCGAGGGTGGGTAGTGCAGGTCGGGACATGTTCTGTCTTGTAATGTGATGACAAAGAACAAGACTAAGGAGGTAAGAAAGGAGCCAAGTGATGCATCTTCCAGAGGTAGTAGAGATGGGTAAGAGCTACTCCGTCCCAAGTACCATCATGGTGATGCATGAGGACACATCCAAGCCCAGCCCTTCAGGAATGCATTGCCTGGAGCAGGTGACGGGATGTGGTGTTTGGTGGAAGATCCTGGGTTCTACCACCATAAACATTTCTCACACTGGTCCCCTTCTCTTCACTCACACAGTCACCACCTCTGTATAGGACCACATCACCTCTCACAAGAGCCCTCTTACTGGTCTCTCTCCCTCGAGTCTATCCCCAGCCCAGTCCATCCTTCACTCAGTTGCCAAAGTGATTTTCCTAAATCATAAATATGACCATATCACTCCCTGCTCAGTAAACTCCAGCGGCTCCCTATTGCCTCCAGGATCAAATAAAAATCCTCTATTTGGCGTGGAAAGCTCTTTATCAGCTGGCACTTCCTAGCTTTCCTGTCCCTTTACCCACTTCCACATGCCCTCCAGTCCAGCCATCTTGGTCTGTTTGCTACTCTGCACACACGGTAGTACATCTTCTTCCTCTGCCTTTGCTTCAGTCCCTGTCTGGAGTTATCTCCTCCCTCACTTTTGCCTCTTGGAATGCTTACTTTCATTCAAAATTCAGCCTCAATATGAGGTCCCCTTGATTCTTGCAGCAGCTAGTACCCTCACTCCCCAAGAGATTGTGTATTCTTTTTGCATGTTACATATTTTATGTATCTGTGTGTTTACATTGTCTACATGTGAATATAAGTCCCTTTAGGGAAAGGCCTCTTATATTTTTGTATTTTTATCCCTTGTATTTTTATTGTAATAAGTGCTTGACACTTAGTAGGTGCTTAATAAATGCTTTTTGATTATACTTGGTACTTTTTTGACCATAGTCTAGCCACTTCATCTCACTGAGACTTGGTTTCCCCATCTGTACAATGAAGACGACATAACTAATAATGTCTACCTCACAGGATTGTGTTGGGAAAATTTGTTTTGTGACTGTTAATGCTATATAAGAAGCAGGTAGGTGGCAAAGTGGATAAGTGTTAGGCCTGGAGTCAGAAAGACTCATCTTTGTGAGGTAGGTGCTATCGTTGTCCCCATTTTACAGATAAGGAAATTGAGGCAGGCAGTGGTTAAATAACTAGCCCAGACTCACACAGCTAGTAAGTGTCTGAGGTGGGATTTGAACTAAGATGGAGATGCTAAGCAGCAGAGGAAAGGGAAAAAGAAAATAGAAAGCTGTCTAATTCTTCAAAAGAGAATTGTTTCTTAACCACTATGCATGAACTCCATAGCATGTTGAAACAGAGGGCCGAGCTAGCTAGAAATCCTGACTTTCCTACTTGCTACCTGTGTCACCTTAGACAAGTCACTTCATGTCTCAGAAACTCAGTTTCTTTTTTGTAAAATTTTGGTATTGAACAAGATCAATCAATTAACTAGCACTTTTTAAGCACCTACTGTATGCCAGGTCCTGAGCTAAGTGCTGGGGATCCAAAGACGAAAACAAAAGAGTCCCATTCTCAAGGAGTTTCCATTCTACAGAAGATCTGTAAGGTGGCTCCCAGCTCTGGAGCCTAGATCCTCTTATTTTTATCACTACTTTCATCTCTCCATTTCTTTGTTGGATGCCAGCCTCTTACGGAAGTGGTTGGATTAAACGACCTCCAAGATTCCTTCCAGACCTAAATCTATGATCCTAAAACTTATTCTGTTGACGTGCAACGGGATGAAGTGTCCAGCTGTATTGACATTCAGCTGGAAGTGACCTTTGAGATTATCTCATCCAATACCTTTACGAAGGAGGAGACTGACATTCAGAGGAAGGTAATGACTTGCCCAGATAGTTAGTGACAGAATCAGGATTCAAATCCACAACTTCCCCTGATCCTCGACCTATACTATTTCTACATCACCTTGTTCTCTCCTGGGATTTATTTGACTGTATGTCAAATGCAAAGTATGTAAAATACTTTCCAGTGACGCTCTCTGGAAGAATTCCAGCTGTAGGTCAGCTGAAGGTCAATGAAGAGGCCCAAGGAGATATTGAAGAGGCTGGGGCATATTGCCAACAAAGCAGTATCCTAAAGTGGCACAAATACATTGGCAGAGATTCATAGTAACTACCCAGTGAGAAAACTCCCTCTGCTAATGCAGGTTGGCACCTTCTTTGCTATTTACAAATGTTGAGATCTGCCCAGACATAGCCCTAAAAGGATAGATTGCTTGGGGTCACAATCCACTCTGTCAGGTAGAACCTGAATCCCAAGTCTTGATGGCTGTGAAGGTAGCTTTCTACCCGCTAGGTCAGGCTGCCTCTCACGTCAGGTGACAGAGGATGAGAAAAGCCTCAGTACTTGCTTGACTTAGGATACGTAGAGGGAGGAAAGGCAAGAAGATCAGAAGCCCACCCAGAACCAAGAAGATCTTGTTAAATTCATGTTAAAATTTGAGTAGGATCAAGGAAGGTTGGAACTGGATAGGACTCTCCAGAGGGTGTTGTCCAAGCACTGCCTTTTACAGGAGAGGAAACTGAGGTGTGGGGAGATGCGCAGCTTGTCCAAAGACGTTCAGATAGTAAGTGGTCAAGCCAGGATTCAGACCTAAGTCTCCCCTGATTTCATACCCAGTTCTCTTCTCCATCTGCTCTATCACATGGGAAGCTAAGCTCTTCTTTCACAATACCCCCAGGGAATAGTTAGAGTCAGGGGTACTATGCTCATTTTTAAAGAAGCTCATAGAAGCCCAGAGGTGCCCTGATTTGCCCATAACTGCACACTTTAGGTAGGAGCTACGACCTCTTCAGCTTATTTGCTCGAAGGAGAAAGGTGGAGGCTGAACGACTCGCCTAGGGTCCTTCCGCACTGCTCCCCCTCCCCCAGCCTTGGGCTGTATGAGGTTCACACTATCCACTGTACCACCCACCCACCCACCGGGGCCGCTGTCGCTGGCAGCTCACCGCCGTCTTCGAATTCCTCTCGGAAGTAGACGCGCCTCCTCCACTCTTGTCGCGGCTGCCCTGGAGAGCTGGCTGGGCCATAGCCACCGCCACCGTCCCTGCCCCCGGCACTGGCCGTGGCTGTGGCCGTGGCCGGGGCACCCACGTTCTCTGCGTGCGGGGCCTTGGCCGTGGCGCTCTCATCGTCCCTGGCTGTGGCACTGCCCACGGAGCTCTCTCTGCCCGAACTCGTGCGCTCTGTAGTCACGCTGCTCGTGGTGGTGTCGGTGCGGCTGTCGGCGGTGCTGTCGGTGGTGGTGCTGTCTGTGGTGCTGGTCGTGCCGCTGTCCGTGGTGCTGCCCGTGGCTTTCTGCTTGTCTGTGGCCTTGGGCCTCGGGCCCTCCCCTCTCTGGCCGCCTGCTGAGGTGGCCAGGAGCACGGCCATGGCCGCCAGCGCCGGCAGCCACCTCATCCCCAGCCCGGCTGCTCCTGGTGTGCCCTGGTCTCTCCAGGTAGCCCCTCTGCCCGTGGCTTCCTCCGTTTCGGACCTCGACTTCCACTGAGCACGCTGGTGGGGCGAGGGTCTGGGGCTTTCCCACAACCCCAGCTTTGAGTGTGCCCCACAAGTGGCTGTTTCTCATTCGCCTAGACCCCGGAGTGATTGCGGCGCTGCAGCCAAAGACTAGGGGCCACACACCTGGAAAGGCTTGAGCAGGAAGAGAAGGTGACCCTGGGGGAGGGGGAGAGCAGATGGAGGGGAGCTGGAGTCCCACAGCAGGGCCCCAAGGGGAAGGAGGAAGCTCTGCCTCCTTGCATCCTCCCCAAGCCCCCAGAGACTCTGGGAGGAAGACGGAGACTGAGGCTACTTCAAAAAAGGTCATAGAAGTGTGTCCTCTGTGATGTGGGTACTCCCTCCACTAGTACAGGTTGCAACCTACACAACAAAACCAACAACAATAACAAAACCATCTAGCATTTGTAAAGAATCTACAATGTGTTGGGCACTGTGATAAGCACTTTACAAATCCTAATTCATTTGATCCTCACAACAACCTGAAGAGACAAACGCTAATTATTATGCCCATTTAACAGACAAGGAAACCAAAGCAAACAGAGGTTGACTTGCCCAGAGTCACCCAGTTAGTATGTGTCTGAGGCAGGCCTTTGAACTTAGGTCTAACTCTAGTCCCAGCATTTTATCCATTGAACCAGCTAGCTGCCTTCTGCATATTATTACCGTCTGCATGTTACAGTAGAATGAACTCTCAGTCTGGAGTCAGAGAATCTGGGTTTAAATCTTGCATCCAATGCTATCTGTGTGACCCTGGGCAAATCATTTACCTTCCCTGGGCCTTAGCTTCCCTATTTGTAAAATGACAGCCTCTGGAGTCTACACCTTTGATTCTTAAGAAAGGATGCACCCCACATCTAGGGGCCTGCTTCTGGGTCTTTCAGGGTTTCACTGGTATCTACAACTTTTCACTCTGCAACTTGGCTCAACTCCTTTCCTGGTCAAGGAAATACTAGGTTGCATAAATAGAAGCAGAGTATGTCCAAAAACCAGGGAAGGAATAGCCTCACTGCCCGCTGCTCTGGTCAGGTCACATCTGGAGTGCTGGGTTTAGTTCTGGGCACCATATATTAAGGGAGATATTCGTAAGTTGGAGAGTGTCCAGAGGATGGAAGCCACAATAATAAAGGATCTTTAGTCTGTGTCTAATAATAATAATAATAATAATGATGATGATGATGATGATGATGATGATGAATTATAGGTGGGGAGATTAACAGTGGCTGGAGTTAATCAATCTACCTGTTTTTAAGTTCTCTGTTCAGCATGCCATCCCATGGGCCCACATGATTATAATATAGCCTATCAGTAGCTGCATTGCCAGAGAAAGATGGCAGCTGTAACTAATAGTCTCAGGCTTTGTAACATGTGGCTATAATTATTATGATGCTCATTGACATTAACCATTATGCGGTGAAATTTCTTGCAAATCTGACAGCCAGGCTACTAGATGCATTCATTTATCATTAATTCAGTCTTATTCTTTGGAACCTGTAATAAAATGGGTAGAGATATGAGACCTTCATAATAAGATATGTGCAAACATGAGAAAGGAAACGTGAGACCCTTCCTTGGAATCCCTTAGGGATGAGCTCTGGATCAACCATGTTTGTAGCTGTCTAATGAGTGATGCTACAGAGCCAATTCACATTTGAAAGGAGCCCCAAATTCTCTCAGGAAACTTGGGTTCAAATCCTAACTCTCACCTGGACTAGCTTTATGACCATCAGCAGAACTCACACATCATTTATATGGCATTTTAAGATCTTCAAAATGTTTTACATATATCATCTCTTTCGATTCTCATGACAACCCTCTAAGATGGGGGCTATTATTATCCCCATTTTGCAGAGAGCAAATAGGTTGAGAAAGGTTTAGTGTTTTGCCCAGGCTCGTAATTAGTGAATGTTTGAGGCAAGATTTGAACTCAGCTCTTCCTGACTGCAAGTCCAGCACTCCATTTGTTATGCCATCTTAGATTCTGCTTCCTTTGTCTGAATCCCAGTTCCCCCATCTATAAACAGGGACAAGAATAATGGAGCCATCTTCTTCAAGGGGATATTGAAAAGATAGTGTACACTACAGAAATGTTGATTTATTTTTGATTATTTCATCCTTATCCTTCACAGACCTTGATGCCATTTCTACCTATCCAAATCCTAGACCTTCTGCAAGGCAGGGTTCAATTTTCATCTCCTCCATGAGTCTTCTCTGATCAATTCTACCCCTTGGAAATACACTGTTCATACAGGTGAACAGTACAACATGGCAGCCCAAAACTCATGCACTATATAAAAGAAGGAGGGAGGTGAGGCAGTCCCACTGCCCTCTGCCCTAGTCATGATACATTCAGAGTATTGTGTTCAGTTTTGAGTACTGCATTTTAGGAAGGATGGTAAAAAGGTGGTATATACCAAAGGAGGCAATCCAGATGGCCAGATGACTAGAGGCCTTGCCATATAGGAATTAGCTGAACAAACTCTATCACCACTCAGCTCAAATCCCACTTTCTGCAGCAAGTTTTTTTAGTCTCCTCCAATTCCCTGTAAGCTCCTTTCCTCTGAGATTGCCTTCCACTTAAGCTATATCTATCATATAGGTGTATAATTATTTGCATGCTATCTCCCCCATTAGAATGTGAGATTCTTGAGGGAAAGCAGGTCCACTTTTTTGCCTTTTTGGCATTCTCAGTGCCTGGCATGTATTAAATACTTAATAAATGCTTCTTGATTTGAACAAACAAAGCCAATGCAACCAAGATTAAAAGGGAAGCTGAAAACTGAGAAAGAATTTTTACAACCAGTGTCTCTGATAAAGGCCTCATTTCTTTTCTTTTCTTTTCTTTTCTTTTCTTTTCTTTTCTTTTCTTTTCTTTTCTTTTCTTTTAGGCAATTGGGGTTAAGTGACTTGCCCAGGGTCACACAGCTAGTTAAGCGTCAAGTGTTTGGTCTGAGGTCGGATTTGAACTCAGGTCCTCCTGACTTCAGGGCCGGTGCTCTATCCACTGCTAGCTGCCTCTCATTTCTAAAATAGATAAAGAACAGAGTCAAATTTATAAGAATACAAGTTATTCCCTAATCAATAAATGGTCAAAGGATATGAACATGCAGTTTTCAGATGAAGAAATTAAAGCTATCTATAGTCATATGAAAAAATGCTCTAAATCACTATTGATTAGAGAAATGCAAATCAAAACAACTCTGAAGTACCACATCATGCCTATAAGATTGGCTAACATGACAAAATAGGAAAATGATAAATGCTGGAGAAGATGTGGGAAAACTGGAACAAAAAAAAATAAATAAATGCTTCTTGACCTTTGACTGTTGACTCACTTACTGACCTTGGCTTGAGCTTGGAGAAGAGAAGACTTGGGGAGGGCAAGACATGAGATTTGTGTTCAAGTATTTGAACACACAGTCTAAATGTGTGTAGGATGGATTAGCATGGGGAGAGACCTGAGTCAGGGAGACCAGTTAGGAGGCTATTGTAATAATTCAGGGAGAGGTGATGAGAATCTGTGTCTGTGTGAGTGGAGATAAAAAAATGTGTATGAGAGATGTGAATGTAGAAACCATGAGATTTGACAACAGATTAGATATGGAGGTAAATGAATGTGAGGAATCAAGGATGACCCTGGGTAACTAGATGGATATGATAAAACCCTTGACAGACAAAGAGACATTCAAAAGAGCAGAGCGTTTGGGGAAGGGAAGGAAGGTAATGAGTTCTATTTGGACATGCTGAGTTTAAGATATTTATAATACCTCCCGTGGGAAATGTCCAGAACCACAAGGAAATTAAAGCTGTGCATTCAATTTGGTTTTAAGCTAAATCAGTACACAAACTTCCCATATGCTCAGGGAAAGGCCACGGTGTAGCAAAGAAAGAAAGAATTTAAATATTTTTTCTTTGGTGAACAATTCACTTTAAAAAAAACTTTCCATTTTTATTGATATTTAGACATTTTCATTTCCAAATGTATCCCTCTCCCTTATAATAAATCCCTTATAACAAATCCATCACTTATAAGAAAAAATTAAAAAGAGAAGAAAAATATTTTAGCAAAACTAACCAACACATGGACCAAATCTGACAGCACATGCAATACTTCATACCCATAGTCCTCTAGATCTTCAAAAGAGAGAGGGATGTGCATTTTCTCATCTTTTCCCCTGGGCCAACTTGATAATTGTGATTACACAGCATTCCATTTCAGTGCTTTTCATTTGCTTTGCTGTAGTCATGGTGGATATCATTTTCCCGGCTCTATTTACTGCACCTTGAATTGGTTCATGTCTTTCCACTGCATCATATTTGTTATTTTCTACCATTATATTCATGTATCACAAGTTGTTTAGCCATTTCCCCAATCAATGGCATTTACTTTATCAACAGTTTTTGGCTACCACTGAAAGTGCTGCTCTTGATATTTTGTGTGTAGAGGATCTTTCTTTAAGTCTTCGATGTCCTTGGGAGATCTGCCTGGCAGTGCAATCTCTGGGTCTAAGGGTAGAACTACTCACTTTTGACGCTATATTTAATTCAATCAATCAACCAACACGCATTTATTAAGTGCTTACTATATGTCAGGAACTGCATTAGGGTGCTGGAAATGTGAAGACAACAGTGAAACATGCAATGTGTTTGAGGCATTACAAATTCGAAATCTTCAAAGGAAGTATATTTTTAAAACTTCAAACTATATTAACAGATTTTGATTCTGTCTATGAAATATCCAAAAGCATAAGCGGATGCTTTCAGCCCAGCTATGAACTCTAATACTAGTCTATGTTTTGTTTGCTAAGCAGAGGCTACTTAAGCAAGAGTTGGAGAGGAGGGGAATCTTCTGGCAATTAGAATCACATGCATAT